GAGAGAGAGAGAGATGAATAGAGGGAACCGAAGACAATCCATGGCCCACTGTGAGGCACGATTCTTACGTAACTTGCTGCAGTACTGGTTTCTTCCTCGTTGACCCAGATTCTCAGCATCGCTCATCTTGACAAACCACGTGGGAGAAGAGAAGAAGAAAAGGAGGGGGAGGGGTGGGCACGTGGGAAGAAGAGAAAGAAGAAAAGGAGGGGGATGAGGAGGGGGGACCATGTGGGAAGAAGAGAAAGAAGAAAAAGGAGGGGGGAGGAGGAGGAGGAGGGGGGAGAATTAGAATAAGGGGGAAGTGAGCGATGGTGACGGAATAAAAATATATATATATGGTGGGGGGGGGGTGTTGAAGGATAAGACGAAAGAAAGAAAAAGAAACATAAAAGTTGGGGAAAATAGAAAGATAAATTAACATGAGCAAGTGGTAGAGAGATAAGTTAAGTGGAGTAAATTTCATAAAGAGAAACGAGGCGAATACAGAAGTGCGAGGAGTGGGCGGGTAGGTGGCAGGCAGGTAGGCAGACAGACACACAGACAAAGACACAGACAGACAGTCAGTTATCCCAACAGACAGATAGACAGACAGTCAGTTATCCCAACAGACAGATAGCCAGACAGGCAGGTAGGAAGTCAGGTAGGCAGACAATTATCCCATCAGACAGGCATGTAGAGACAGCCAGACAGGCAGGTAGGCAGACAGGCGAGCAGACAAACAAACAAACAGGCAGGCAGGTGGATGAGTGAGCGAGGGGAGGAAGTGAAGCGAAGAAAGTAGGACTATTTGGCGACCCATCCGTTAGGAAGCGACCACGCTCCCTCGCATGGACCAGCCCCAGCCTCGTTCGGGGTCAATCCTACGGCTAATTAGGGCTCACACACACACACACACACACACACACACACACACACACACACACACACACACACCACACACACACACCACACACACACACACACACACACACACACACACACACACACACACACACACACACACACACACACACACAACACACAACACACACACACACACACAACACACACCACACACACACACACACACACACACACACACACACACACACACACATTTACGTATGTATATGTGTATGTATGTATGAATGTATGTACATACAAACATACATACACGGTCTATGTAAGGTCTATACTTATTTAACTTTGTATATACACACGTACATAGTCCGTGTATGATATTCCTCTGCCCCTATCCATCTCCGCTACCTCTTCCTTTCTCACATTTTCCTTTTCTCTCCTTACTTCCTCTCTCTCTCTCCCTTTCTCTCTTTCCTCTCCCCTCCCACACAGCGCATTGCATTCTCATTCTAGCCGCCCGACGTAGGCTCCGGACCAAGCAGGAAAGGACCGCTTTGAGGGGGCTGTTTCGGAGGCCGGCAGC